AATGGGAATTGGAGAAGGACCTCTGCAGAAGAGCATCTCCTCAGTGATGCTAGAGTGCTTCCTACTCATCTACAGTGAGTAGAAGAGTGGAAAAAATGATTTCTTGTGATCATTAAAGAGTCCAGAGCCATTTTCTCAAGTGTTAGAGGTGTTAAGGCTGCTGTCTGGCCTTATTCCCAAACGGGTAATTGAATTGCTTTGAACTTCTGCGAGTTCAATTGGACATGGACTTAGCTTGTAGCTGTTTTTATGGGATTATTCTGCTGTGCTCCATCACCTAGAAACTTAAATGTTGGGTAAATGATTCTTGTATCAGCGTGGGCTTGGGCTGTGAGAGTAGGTGAGAAAACCCTTGATGTATTTTTCCTTACTTTTCCCTGTACAGTGCAGGAAAATAAGAGAAGAGAGCACTCTGGCCATGTATCCCCACTGGAGATCAGAGCAGTCAAACTGGAGAGGGAACCTCACATCCAAAGGATGAAATTAATTAAAAAAAAAGAAGTTAAATAAATCTTGATGGAATGAGGAGGAAAGGCAATGCTGGTGAGAGCAGCCCCTGAACAGCCTGCACTCCACAAAGAAGGAAGGAGTGGTGCTGCACTGGGCTGGTTGGGACCTGCTGGATATTTTATATCTGTGGGTTTAGGAGGGAAAATAAATTCCTTTTTATTTACCTTCTTAGTGTTCTCCCTTCAGTGTGATACTCAGGTACCTCAGGTTGATTTTGGATGAGCCATGAAAGATGAACATGGAAGTTTTAATGCTTTAGAATGGTAAAATTGGACTATCTTTCTGGGATGATTGCCAGTTTAATGTAAGGAATGTAAATAATTTTGAAACTTTAGGCTACTTACTTTTTTTCTGTCAGAACCTAAAGAAACTTTGTTTTAAAGTGCAAGATTCAGTTGTTAAAAAATCGGTCACTTTTAGTTTTGAGCTTGATTAGAAATTTGCAGAGGTTTTACATGCAAAATTTCAAGGAGAAAAATGCACAGCTCTTCTCCCTTGGTTATGTCTCTTTTTTTTTTTTGGTTGTCTCCCCAAAGAAATTTGGCAGCCCATTGTCAGGGGTGAGAATATTGATAGCAGATAAAGCATGGGATGTAGAGGATATTTTGCTACACAGGTAACAAAGTTTGCCTACAGCAAAGCCAGTCCACAATCCGTGTTCTCAGGAAAATATTTTCCAACTTGATTTTCTCCTGTACCCCTCCAATCATTCTGCTTGCTTCTATCTTATTTTATTCCTTGCTACTTTTGCAGTTGATTGTATTTCACAAGGAAAAAGAGGGGGAAGTAAATTGAATTACAGGTAGCCAGAAGAGTGCAGGAGGATAAGAGGCTCTTACTGCAACGTGGGGGGGATGAAGTGGTGGAGAATATCCACTCATTAATGAGGTGAATGAAATTAGGGTGATTCTAAAATGGCTGATTTAATTAACTGCTTTGTAAATTGATCTTTAAACAGGGTAAGTTTATTAAAATATTTTAAAAAGGGAAAATAACTGAAGCCCTGCTCCAGTAATAGTTTGAAATAATGCTTGCTGTAGTTACTCATTAAAAAGTTGGGGATAGTTGGCAATGTTGGAACATGTTCAATAATACCACATTTTGCAATATTTGTTTTAGGGTTTTAATGGAAAATTCCGAGTTTCTACAGTTGTTTTTAATACATAAAAGTCCCTCAGGAGTGTTATTTCTAGATCTCATGGCTGTGTAGAGAAGCATGTGAAGATGGGAACAGGAGTTCTAGATCAAGAAGACCAATGAGATGTGTCAGTGCAAATTTAAACAAGGCACTTTGGACATCTCTGTATGACATTAGTGAGACCAGCAGGGAGATGCTCTAATTTTGGTGTTCTTACCTCTTAAGTGTTGAAAAATTACCCAGAAGTTGCCTTAAAAGTGTTGGAGGGCTGAAAGAATTTTTTGCATGGACAGACAAGCAGATCATTGATTTTACTTAGTTTCTTTTTTCAAGTTGTCCACATTTTTCCAGAGGTTGTGTTGAGCACGGTGTTATGGGGTTAATTTGACAGTAGTTTTGCTACTCTTACATTATTTTCTGCAAGGCTTTAAAATCCACTGATGAACAGGACCCCAGAATACAAGTTGGAAGCCACTGAATATTCTTTGGGCAGAGGGTGGCCTTGCCCAGCAGTCTTTGCATCCCTGTGAATTGAAATTCCTGCACAAGCTCAGCTGTATCAGAGGGACAAATTGAGACCAGAGCTCTTTCCCTCATATGGCCACGAGCAATGGGAGGTCAACCCCTGCCCCTGAATCTGAGAACTCTGCACCTCATTAGCTGGAATTCACTTAGGATTCACCAAATCATTATGTGTAATTCACTAAAGGAGATTAATTTGGCCTGGGCACCCAGATTCAGGAGCTGAGCCCTGGCACTTTAGACAAATTAGGAATGACACCCAAATTTTAGAAAGAATCGCTGGCCATGGCCACCAACTGCTGCAGGAGGTGCTGAGGCCCTGGCACAGGGTGCCCAGAGAAGCTGTGGCTGCTCCTGGATCCCTGGAAGTGTCCAAGGTCAGGCTGGACAGGGTTTGGATCAACCTGGGATGGTGGAAGATGTCTCTGCCTTAAGTCCACCTTTACTTCCTTAGGTATAACTAAATGATTTTACAGCCCCTTTCAATCCAAACCATTCTGTAATTCCATAATTCTGTGTTGCTTGAACTTTCTTGAAGCCATCTAGAAAGTCTTGCTTTTGTCAGATGGCAGTGTTTTAGTTCATGAGGCTACAAGGACAAAAGTTCAGGGTTTCTGTGTGTGATAAATGGATGATTAAATAATTTAGAGTATATTTTAGTATTAAATGTTGAAGAGTCTGTAAAGTAGGGATTTCTGGCTCATTAAATTCTCCAGTTCAAACAAAGAACTTGAGCACATGGAACTTGGTATTGACAGATAAATGATCCAGGAAATGGTGACATTAGAAACACAGGTAAGAAATGCCCAAACCAGCACATCCAGTGAAAACCACCTCAAGGCCACATGGTTAAAGAGATTTTCTGTTTAAAAACTGTGCTGCTCAGAGCTGTCTGTGATGAGTCAGTAAGTCTGTGTGACACTTCTCCCAAAGCTGGGACAGGAGGATGGAGCAGCCCTGCCTCCATCTCAGAGGCCAGACCTAGAACACAAAGTCTGTTCCCAAACGCTCCCTGTCAAGCTCCAGAGGTCTCAGGCTGGGATTCCACTTGCAGATTGTGGTTGTTACAATTCCAGTCAGTTGCAGGTCGACTGCTGCATTGCCTGCCGTGCCCTCCTGTGCTTCAACAGTCTGGGTGCTTGTCTTGGAAAATTGAAAATGGCCTGGACGTTTCCAGTAATCAATTTTTCCAGGACAGCACATTGAAGCGCTGATGTGGATGTAGAACGTCTGTCTTCTCACTCAGGCATTTTCTTGGATGGGAGTCATCCCCTTGCCTTGTCCTCCTGCTTCCTTCTCCCACAGAACAATGGAAAGGGCTCAGTAGTCACTGGATAAAGGCAAAGATGGGATTTTCTTCTCATTTTTGTATTTCCCAGGCTGCAAGTGGCTTTTTTGTGGATTTGTGCATCCTGGCTTTGTCTTTACAGCTTTACTCCAACAAAACAGATCTCAATGTTGTTCTTCAGCCCCAGTTATGGATTTCCAGTCATTCCATGACTCCTGTTGGGAGCTTCTCTGTGCCAGGGCAGAAATGGACATGAGGAGTCATCCTCAACATTTGTGGGGAGGAATAGGCAGCCCTGTCCCTGGAAGGTGTCTCAGCCATTGTCCCTTTCCTGGCTTTCACAGGGTCCTTGGAATTCTTCCTTGACTTTCCCTCAGCTGTGATTTGCTCTGGCTCACAGGGATTGTACATCAGCTCTGTCACATCTCCTGGAGTTTGAGTGATCTCTTCACCCTCCTCTCCTGCAGGAATGCTAATAAACCCTTGACTCACGAGAAGATTCCTGAGAAGGATGGAAAATGCCATATTCTGCTTGCCAAGTTCTGCCTGCCCTCCATCTGCCATCCCTTCTTCTCAAGATCTAGAGTTCTGAAGGAGGAGATCTTGTTGTTTGTGTGACATTTGGATCTGTAGCCAGGAGACTCAGGAAAGAAGAGTCATTAAGGGAGCACACTGTGATTTTTTTTTTCAGTTCCATTTCTTAGGTTTTGCAATAAATAATATTCATTGTTGTGGTACCTTGGGAAGTTTAGGAGTTAAAAATTATTTTGTTGAGCCACCAGGATGGGCGAGTTACCTGAGAAGCCAGTCTTTGGAGGGGAAAAGGCTGAAGACTTAATTCTTTAAATGAAAGCTCAGGAGTAATTGGATGTGCTGCACTTTCCTTGTCAGGGCAGGCAATCTTTGACAACATTCCAGGTTCAAAAGTTCCTAACTTCAGAAATCCAACTTCAGTCAAATCAACTTGGGTCCTACAGGCCACTAGAATTTCCGCTGGATGTGTTTTTATCTTCTTTTTTTTTTCCAAGGTAGCAACAAAAGTTAGGGCAACTTGAACTCTTTGTAGTTAAGATTTGAAAGAGTTGAGATTCACAAATCTCATGTCATAACTGGTTAAAACGTGTCCAAAAAAAAAAAAATCAGATCTGTGGCCACCACAGAAATCTGAGATGCCTGTCTGGTGGGTACTTAACACTGGGCAAAATTTTATCTGGAATCAAGTTGCAGCCTTAATTACTGAGCAGCCACAGTCCCTGTAGCAGTGGTTTATCCAAAGCAAAAGGGCACAAACTGCAGGGTTGGTGCAGGTGTGGGGGATGTCAGGGAAGGTCTGAAGTGCTGTTGGAGCACTCCAAGGAAAATAAACCTTTCTGCTGTGTAGTGAGATGGGCATTCACGACAGGCGTCTTGCTGAGGTTATTTGGATTTTGGAGCTGTTGCATGTGTGTGTGTGTCTTATTTGCACCAAAATGTATAAAATATTTTCCATGTGCCACATAGAACTACTGAACTGAAGTATTTTGTATTTTACCTCGTTTCCAGCCTGCTGGAAACCATGTCTCACTACACAGACGAGCCAAGATTCACCATAGAACAAATCGACCTCCTGCAGCGCCTGAGACGCACGGGAATGACCAGGCACGAGATCCTGCACGCCCTGGAAACCTTGGACCGTCTGGACCAAGAGCACAGCGACAAATTCGGGAGGAGATCAGGCTACGGAGGAGGCTCCTACAGCAACAGCACCAACAATGTGCCGGCATCGTCCTCCACGGCCACGGCTTCGACACAGACGCAGCACTCCGGGATGTCACCGTCCCCGAGCAACAGTTACGACACCTCCCCACAGCCTTGCACTACGAACCAGAACGGGAGGGAGAGTAACGAGAGGTTGTCTGCTTTCAACGGGAAGATGTCACCCACCCGCTACCCCCTGGCAAACAGCATGGCCCAGAGGTCCTACAGCTTCGAGGCTTCCGAGGAGGATCTGGACATCGATGACAAAGTGGAGGAGCTGATGAGGTGAGTGCGGAAAGTTTGGAGGTGGGAAGGGACTCAGCGGGAATGGGTGATAAAATAGGGATTGTAGGGTGGTAAAATGTTGGCACCGGGGAGGTTGGTGGATGCCTCATCTCAGGAAACATTCAAAGTCAGGTGGGACGGTTGAAGATAACCCTGCTTATCATAGTGGGTTTGGACTAAATGACCTGAAATGTCTCTTCCAACCCACACCAGCCCGTGAGGATTTGATGATGGTTATCAGGAGAGCAGGAGCTGCTTCAGGCAGTTGTCATCCCAGAATCTCTCACCTGCCTTGTGGAGGCAGCCCCTGGCCCTGTGTGGGTGTCCCATAATCTGACTGTTGAAATAATTTTTCCAGTGTTCTACCAAAAATTGAGATTGATTAGAGCACTCGTTTTCCACCCTGCTTTTATTCAGGATTCTGATCAAATATCAGTTCAAATATCAAATATCCTCCACTATTTCACACCCATTATAATTCCTTCCACAGAGAGGGAGAGCAAGGAATCCAGCTTGGATTGGTCAGTGATTTCCAGTGGGATCTGGAGAGGATGAGCATTGTTTGTTTATAGTTTGTGGCAGGGATTTGCAGACTGATGCAAGAAAATACAAATAATAAAGAAGAAGCAGAAGTTTTCTCTGAGAGCCATTTGGGTTTTATCAGGGCTGACCTTCCTTTACTTGTAGCAGCTTCCTTTTCAGCATTATGGCAAAGATGAAAGAAGGGGATTATACTCCTGAGGATGAAAGTCCAAGTCAGTGGGCTTTGAGAGCAGAAAGAAATAAGAAGAAAGGCCAAATGTCTCAAAACAATTTTGGTCATAATGTTGGAATTTATTCCTTTTCCCCCCCCAAAACTGCACCATTCCTGAAGTACCTATGGGATAACTGGGGTCCATAAGCTCCAGAATGGAAATGTGTTGGAATCAGTTTGGAGATTTCAGGGAAAGATGTGGCTTTTGGGGAAAGGATTAGAGATGAGCACTAAGAAAAGCCGATCAACCTCTTTTGCTGTCGGCTGCAGGAAGGGGGTGAGTACAGCACAGTGCCAAATTCCCATGGCTGAGGTTTGGGTTCCTGTGCAGTGAGTCTCAGGTAATGCTTTTAGTGCTTATTTAAACTGAAATTACTCGTGTTTTGCAGGCATATAGAAGATGAGTGTTGGGTACATAAATAAAAATGAACCCAGAGCACAGCATTCATTTTGCATTTTACATTGGCAAGCTTGAGTCAGCCTTCAGTGTAGCTGGGGCAGGAGAGGAGAAAGGGAAGGGAAATGTCTCATAAATGCCCTTCTCAGGAAGGGAGAGAGGAAGAGGAGGAGAAAAGTATGTGTTTATTGCAATTGAAATTTGCTATGTGTCACAGTACATGTGCAACCTCCAATTTATTTGCTTTTTAGCACAGTTTCAGCCCCTTCTGAACTACCTGTGCAGACGTTTTAAAAATCATACCAAGACCTCAGTTCATTCAGGGCAAGCTCTGGACTAAGAAGGGGACTAAAGGAGGGGTGTGAGGACAGAGGTTGCAAAATTTTGGATCTTTTCCTTGGAGTGCTGGAGGAGGGTTGGTGTATGCATATTCATTTGGGTAACTAACCATGCAGGGTCTGCTATCCTTTATTTTTTATTTTTCTGCCTCATTTTTATGAGTGAGGTTTTTTATGCTGGTATGAGAGATTTATTCATCCCTGTGTAATGAAACTTTGTACATTCCATATGGCAGTGCTGCACCTAATATGAATTATATGGGACATGAGTCATCCATTCTCCTGCTATGGTACTTTGATCAAACGTGACACTTGTTAAAAGAAGTGTCCAGCACTGAGGCACTATTTTAATGTCAGCCTTCCCCACTCCTTGTCCCCTAAATAAAGGAAAATAAAGGCATTTTGAATCTTGCAGGTACACTTTGGTCTGTCCATCTTTTTGTGTGTCCTGTTGTTGTTTTGTTTTGGTAGGAGGGACAGCAGTGTGATAAAGGAGGAAATCAAAGCCTTCCTCGCCAACCGGAGAATTTCCCAAGCAGTTGTTGCACAGGTAACAGGTAAGAGCTGGGAGAGTCCTTTCCTCTTTTTGGGAATCTCTGTGGCTGAACTGCCTGTCTGAGCATGGTGCAGATGTTGGAATATCACTTGGCTTTCTGCATTGCAGTGCAGATCTGTCAGCTTAGTCATGATAATGTATGCCTTTGATTTAAGACCCATTGTCCTGCACATCATGGAACTTCCCCAGTGAATCACTTTTTTTTTTTTCCTTTTTTTTTTTTTTTCCTGTGGCTTGTGCTGGCAGATTTTATTTTACAGCGTTATAATAAAGCCTGAAGTTCTTATCTTAAAATGAAAACGGTTTTCCTTAATTCTTAAATTGTTGTTGAGTGTGGCAAATAGATGCATATCTGCATCTCTGGGTATGGAGAGAGAGAGATAATGTGTATTTATATATTAAAAACTATATGAATAGTCAGGAGACACAGCTATAGCTAGTGCCACTGCAGCCAGGAGTTGGAGGATGAGAGTTGGAAGTTTTATCCATCCTTTGAGTCACAATTAATGAAAATTCGAAGGGAGGTTGAGGGATGAGCAGACCAGCTCAGGTTTTACCTGGAAGGAGCAGGGGGTTCTGGGTGTCCTGTGCCCTTCTCTCTCACATCCAGACAGGTGAACTCACTGCAGTGGTGCCACTTCTTCCCTGGGTGTGTTCCCAGTGCTTTACAGAGAGGGTAACAAAGTCCTTTTGCTCCTCCATGGGGTGGGGTGTTACTGTTTCTCCTTTCCAGCCCTTGCCTGGAGCAGCCAGAACCATTTTGATTGGAAAATCCCTCTAAGACCGTGGAGTCCAACCATTCCCCAGCACTGCCACCACTGATCTGTGTCCCCAAGTGCCACATCCACATGGCTTTTAAATCCCTCCAGGGATGGAGACTCCACCCCTGCTCTGGGCAGCTGTGCCAGGGATGGACAACCCTTTCCAGGCAGGAATTGTTCCCAGTATCCAACCTGAGCCTCTCCTGGCACAGCTTGAGGCTTTTCCTTCTCATCCTGTCCCTTGTTCCCTGCCAGGGAGTTGTGCAGAGCCACAAGGTCCCCCCTGAGCCTCCTTTTCTCCAGGCTGAGCCCCTTTCCCAGCTCCCTCAGCCTCTCCTGGTGCTCCAGCCCCTTCCCCAGCTCTGTTCCCTTCCCTGGATTCACTCCAGCCCTTCTTTTAGGATGAAGACTTGATAAAATTCAGAAAGCTCAATCCCATGTTATACCTCTAAGATTTGTCAACTTTTTAACCCAAGCTTGGATAAAGATCTTGAAACAGATAATTTTTAAGGTACCCTGATGTCTGGGAATGCCAAAGCAGTAGGAGGGAAGTTGTTCTTTTATGATATTTCCAAGATTTGAAACGTCATAGGAACCCCCCTGTCTGGGAACTGTGGGTTTGCAGACATGGCAGCATTTGAGGTGGGCAAGCACAAACTGGTGCTTGAGCCACAGAACCAGGAATTCCTTCCATGTCTCCAAGTCTTCTGTGATCCTGGGTAAAATGACTTGTCTCAGTTTCATCTGGAAAATCGTGAGATTAACAGTTTGTGTAAATGTAAGGCATGTTACTGGTCTTAACCAGATGTTAGGACTAATGCTTCAAAAGTTAATGAGTAAGTTGAGTTGCTTAAATTGTACCTGAACTCTAAAATTTTAGTGAGTCACTCTCCTGCTTTTGTTCATTCCTTGCCTGAATATAGTCCTGGAGGAACCCATCTCTGAATTAAGCTCTGTGTAACACCCAGCAAGTCAGGCTGGCTTCCCCTACAAGAGGAATAGTGCAGAGAGGGGAAAACTGCACAAAAGGAATCTTTCCAAAAGGAGCCAGTGTTTTTGTTTTTTGGTCAGTGAGACTCCCACATGTGGGGTCATTGAGTCAAGTCTGATCCAAGTCTGTATCTGTGGAAGGAATGGATCTAATTATAATTAACTGAGTGTTCTGGTGCATGTGTTTGATACCCTGCAAGAAGCTGTAGGAAAGGCAAGACCAATCCCTTCACACCTGATCCTTTCCCTCCTTCCCTGCTGAGCCTGTTCTCTTGGATTTCAGTGGGCATTCAGTTGGCATTGAGCCTTTGGGAGCTCTCATTGTTTCCTCCTGTGAATAAATGACACCAGACTGGATTTCACACCCTTCCCACTCAATTCTCCTGCATAACACGAGGGGGATCCACAGTGTGCTCACCAGAGAAATACTGCAGGGTGTCAGTGGGACAGAATGAGGGCTGAGCTGAAGGCACTGTGTTATTATCTTGTTTTTAAGCCAGATCCATGGGAAGCCAGTACATCTTTGCATCTCAGTCGTCCTCCCTGTGCTTGGTGGGAGCTGATTCATTTTAAATAAACCCCTGGCCTTGTGCAAGCAGATGTGTAGCACTTCCATGCCACTCTTAAGTACATAGTAATGGCTTATCTGAGAGAAAAGGTAAATCTCAAAGAGATGTTTGGAAGGACCAGATTAAAGAGTGAGCTCAGCTCTAGCAGGGAGAAACATCAGCTTCCTCTCAAAAGCAGGGAGTGGTGAGGAGTGACTGAAATAGCTCAGGACAGATCCAGAGCAGAGCGTCCCAGGGCTCTCCCTTCCAGAGCTGGCTCAGGCCTGGTGAGTGTTGGATGACTTTGAATATTCTTCAGATGCCTCCAACATCCCTTTCAGATGGGGAAGAGATTCCCAAGGAATGTCTGGAAACCACTTCTGGTTCAGTAAAAAAGCAGTTTGTATAGGCAGATGCTTTGCAGAGTGTATCATTCCAAATGGCATCACCTCAGGATTTACAGCCTTAGTCTTACTGATAAAGATTTTCTGTAAAAAGTTACTTGTACAAGAGGAAAACAGAAAAATTAGCGTTTAGTCTTCACCCCTTCTGCCCTGGGAAGAGGCAAGAAAGAAATGAAAAATTTATGGCTGGAATTTCTGTCCAGGAGAGTGGCTTGGCTTGGCTTGGCTTGGCTTGGCTTGGCTTGGCTTGGCTTGGCTTGGCTACCTCTGCTGGCAACTTTTCCTTTCAACCTCTACCAATTCTCTGTTTCCTCAGTCCTTATGACTTTATTTATCCTCATTCTGTAACTTGCCATGTTCTGTCCTTGGTGCAGAAACCTCAGCTGTAACTGTGACCCCTCAAAACCTCTTTTTAACCTTATTCTGCTAATTCTTTAAATTACACTTTCATTCAGAAGCATGTTTCTTCTTTTTCCCATCTTAATTCTAACACTGCAAAGCACAGAATCCACAGTCCTACAGAGCAGCTCTGCATCAGTAAACAGTTTTTCCTCTTGTTTTTCCTGCTGTAGCACAAGGCAAGTGATGGAGAGGGAGGATACAGGAGAGAGGAACACAGAGCTGAAGGTTAAAGTCAGCTGTTGAAGTAGAAAAATGTTGAGGCTCTCTTAATCCTTATAAAACTACCAGAAACTTTAAAAGTCATTTAGATAATGAATCTGACAGAAAAAAATTAAATGTGGAAGACATTCTACAGAGCTGCCTGGTGTATGGAGAGGACAGGGCAGGTTGGAAAATAGTAACAGGGTATTAAAAAGTGACTTGAAAATAGAGGGATGATTGATAAGAAGCAAAAACTTAGCATAACACTTCTTAGTGCTGGTCCTAAAAACAGGAGCTGCTTTTTATAGAAACTTTTTTAATGGTGTCTGCAATAAGATAAACAAGAAGCACTTGGGTTGGGTTCTGTATAAATAATCTCCTACTGATAAGAAAAATGACAGTATAAACAGGAGCTAATAATAGTTCCTGCGGAATTTCCTATCCTGGTGTTTGGAGCTCCTTTTAACATCACTGCAGCCTGCTCAGGGCTTGGGGCTTCAGCCCCACGTGGGGCAGGTGAGCTGCCAAATTTTTATCAAATAAAATCGGAAATTGTGTGCTGCAATTTGTTTAAATTGCCCCAAGAATTGTGCTTGGGCACCAGGTTATGATCAGAAGGTAAAGGGAGAAAAGAGAGAAATGTAAACTTTTCTCAGAGATGCTGTCTGAGCTTGCAGAGTTACGTGGAGGGTGGGGAAATGTTTGCAGGAGCTGATGCCTTTCTGTTCTACAGTAAAGGAGAGAGGGAGGAGAGCACAGGGATGAGCCCTCTGCAGATGGGCTAAAGTGGTTTGATGGATGATGCCTCTGCAAGGTTTGGAAATATTACCTTTCCTGTTTTTTACACATATGGAGTGAAGGAATAAAAAAAAACACCCTTTTTTTTTCCTCAGGTTACAGAGCAGAAATTTCAATTCCGTTTTCTCAGTTCTTAAAAACGTAAAAACCAAACCACCATTTAAAAAAAAAACCCCAAACCCATCAACAGTAAAATGCAAAGTCATTTTTTGGGTTGTTTTTAAATACACATAGAGCTTTGCAGGGTGCTGTTCTGGTACCTTTCCCAGTTATTCCACTTGTGCAACCCAGCCCTGTCCTCCTGTCTCTGCCTTAATTGATAGGAGATGTCCAGGACTTGGCTTTAGATTATGCTAAACACAGTGGAGGGCAGCCTTGGAGCCCTGCTGGAACAAATAAAATCCCCACAGGTTTGGAACCCACACACAGGGATGCTGAGCAAATGCCAGTACACAGGGGAACTTAACTAGTTCCATTGTGAAGAGAATTCACAAAATTTCTGAATTGCTGATCCTCTCAAATGGCATGAAACTGCATTTTGAGAAACATTTTCCTTCCTGGTTTTTTTTTTTTCTTTTAATACTCATGACAGCACAGAGATTTGTTTTTCTATGATTTTGATCTTTTCAGGTTTTCTGTAAACAAGCCTTGCTAATCTCCTGAATTGATAGATGTCCTTTGCAAGCACTTGTTCTCTGAATCTGGGACTTTGCTTACAAAGTGAAGAATTAAAACACAGGCAGTTAACTTTCTTCTCCAGGTCTGACGTATTCCAGGGGCTCTGAAAACCTCTCCTGAAAGAAACATGAAAGAAATGCAAAGCAGGGCTGCTGAACAAATCTATCTGGGAAGGTGAAAACCAGTTCCCAAAGACTTGATGAACAGCAGAGTTGAGAGTTATGAGCAGATTTGAGCTGCACATAGCAGTGGCCTTCTCATGATGATTTATTTTGCTATTTATTTTATATATTTGAAAGGGAAACTCTCCCCAAATCAGTTGTGTAGGAGACAGCAGGGCTGGCCAGGGGAGTGAGCACAGATTGTTTTATCACTGGGAAGTGTGACCTGCTGTGGAAGGAGTGAGTGTGACACAAGCAGTCAGCATCTGAATTGCAATAATCCTTTGTGGGTACAACTTTCCTTCAGTGTTTTCTGTGAGAAAACTGCTGGTGTCCATAACCAGGTGTGTTCCTGGCCCTGCTGATGCTGAGCCTGGAGCACCACAGCCCTCCTTGAGGTCCCTGCTTCACTTGGAGAGTGAATTTCCTCAGCACAGCTGGGTTTTCACTAATCTGGAGAAGTTATTTCATTAATTGCTTCTGGCAACAGAATGATTTCTTTTTTCCTGCCAGTGCAATTCCCTAAAGCAAAGTGTGATTAGAGACAACGTGGCAGGAGGGTCCTGGTGGTCACTGTCCTGTGAGTCAGCTATGTGAAACCCACTTGAGATGCAAGAAACTGACATGACAATCTGGGGGGGTTTGGGTTTGTTTTTTTACATTAAAAAGAGTTAAGGGTGGGTTTGGATCCCACAGCACTGGGATTTGGGAGATCCTGGATGAATTTCTTCTGAAAGACTTTGCATGTGACCTTGGCTTGGTCAAGCTGTTGGGATATGGTTTTGGGGCCTCTAAACCTTGCTGAGGTACAGATAAATGTTAAGCCTTAAAAACATTTTGCAGAAGCAGCTTTATGAGCTGTGAGTACTCACAGCAAATCAGAGGCTCAGCTACTGTGCCTAAATGACAGCCACAAAAGGATCCCAGCACAGATCCAGCTCTGTTTGGGAGAACTTTGATGCAGTTCAGGACATTGGAACAGTGCATAATTTGTGGAAAGAAGCTTTTTATAATGAAGATGGCACAAGTTGGTCAGGAAGTTGGTGTCTGCCCCATCCCTGGAAACATTCAAGGTCAGCTTGGACAGGGCTCTGAACAACGTGATCCAGTTGAAGATGTCCCAGCTCATTGCAGGGGGTGTTGAACTAGATGACCTTTAAAAGTCTTTCCAACTCCAATTTTTCTGTAATTCCATGAAAGTGGCCATGGCAAGACCCAGCTTGAGTTTTTTTGGCTCCTGCTGCTCTGCCTTGCCCTCCAGTAAATTGGAGTGGTGACATCTGTGCCACATGTGACAGTGTCAGGCAGCCTCTTGAGCAGAATTTGGATTTTCCATTCAGGGCAGACATTTAATCTCTATTTATAATTTTTATCTACCAGTGCTTTGTGTTTGTATCTTAGGTTGTTATCCAAACACTCAACACACACTAATTCACTGCAATAAGTGTAAGTGGACCGTAGTAAACAAGTAAATGACTGGAGCTGTTACCCAGTGATTAATTAATGAGAGCAGGGCAGCCAAAAGCAGTGAGACACAAACCTTTGTGCCCCACAACCCAGCACAAGAAATGCCTTTTATAAATCATAATAGGTCAAGAGCTGTGAATTTTCAAAACTTGGACTTTCCACTGGTGATCAGATGGCAACATTTCAACTGGGCTGGAGCCTTGTTTTGGGCCAGAGAATGTTATCAGCTTACACGGCTTTCTTTTGGTATTAACTTGTGTGCTTCCACAGTTACTTGATGTAAACTTGGCAGGCTCTGAGGGTTGTGTTTGGTTGAATAATTCCACTGGCCCAGTAGTATAAACTCAGTTTTAGATCCCACTCTGGGCCCTGGGGGTAGGCAGCTCTTGGCTGCCCCAGCTGTTGCTGAATTCTGTCAGTTAAGGGCAGTGCAATCTCTGGGAGTGGGTTCTGGGAAAATCAGGGTCTGTTTTGTGGGCACAGCTCTGCTGAAGAGCAGTGAGAAACAAAACACACCCAATCCCTTTCCCCCAGGACAATTAAAACTTCATAGCCTCCAGAATTCTGTTTGAGGAAGAACAATTAAGAGTACAAACCCAGTGATTTTAAAAATGTGGTTGCTGTAAACCCACTTGAATATGATACCTGAGAGTCAAGTTGAGACATTCTGAAGTTAACTACCTTCAACACACAAAAAAAAGGAAAAAAAAAAGCATAATAAACCCCCACATTAGAAGTGGTAAAACTACAGGGGGCTGTTTTTCATGAGTTAAATATGATTATGAGAGCTTATAAAAACCTTGATGCATCTCTAGAGGGGGGAGGTGGTTTGGGTTCTGTGTGCAGACCAGCCTCTACCTGCCCAGGTGGTATCACCAAGCAGGTGGTGGCACAGGTGGTGTTGGCAGTATATTGGTACTTGGAGTACCTCCTAAAACTTCACTTCTCAGGAGAGTTTGGATGTTGTTAACCTGTTCTGATGGCTGAAGGGCCTTGTGGAGGGCACAGGGAGTTCTGAACTGGTGCTTCAATTCCTCAGCAAACTGCATTTTTTATATTTTAGATGAACTTATTGCTGACCTCTTCATGCACTTTTTGTTTTATTTAGTTCCTCTGCTGATCACTTTTTGCCCTTCCTGCATTGATCCTTCATTCCCTGTCACGCTTTGGAAATAACTGTATTAACTTCTAGGATTTTTTTTCCCCTTCTTACTGTTTTCTTAGAACTTTTGCTTTAAAAGCTGCAGTGTTTTGTCCCTGATCATGCCTGGGTACCTTGGCTCCTGCTTTGCTGACAGACAGCTGCTCTTTCTGGTTTGATTTCTGGCTGTTGTTACAGCTGCTGACAGTTGGTTTGCTCCATTTCTGGGCTGATGTGATCTATATCACATAAACTGTTTTCTGTGTTTATCTCCCTTCTTGTTCAAGCATTGAATGATAAGGATTTCCTAACAATCATTATTTATATATAATAGTGGGGAAGGGACTTGTTCCCATTTCACAGATGAAGTTTAGCCATTAGGGAAGGTGTGGAGAATTCAAGTCTGTGATAGTTTTGGCTTCCCAATTTTTACCCTCTTTGCTTTTGGGCTGATCATGCAGATTCCTTGAGTGTTCCTTGAGTAAAGTTGAACATAACCCCAGGGAGAAATTCAAACAGTTTGGGACAGAACAGGGAAGCTTCAGCTCTGCTTTTTCTGGGATTGAAACATCACAAGTCCCTGGGCTTTGTAATACACCACCTGTTATCAGTAGATAAACCACTTAAAATGTTTGGTAAAGGACTTTTCTCTTTCTCTCTTTTTTTTTTTTTTTTCTCTCCTGGTTTTTGCAGGTATCAGTCAGAGCCGGATCTCCCATTGGCTGTTGCAGCAGGGGTCAGACCTGAGTGAACAGAAGAAAAGGGCATTTTACAGATGGTACCAGCTTGAGAAGACAAATCCTGGTAAACAAATGCAGCCTAAACATCTCCTGCTGTTTATTTACAGAATGGAAGCTTTTTATTTATTAGCACTGATAATTCACTTCTTGGTCTGGGGTTCTCCAGAGCTTCTCTCTCTGACCAGGTTACTTTTTAGGAGGGTAGGAACAAATCTGCTTTTTGCTTTGCAACAAATGATGCAGAGCTGCCTCATCCAGAGCTGCCTCATCCAGGGCTGTCTGTCCAGCTCTGCCCTCCCACCTCTCACTAAATCTGAGAATCAGAAGCAGCCAGTGAAGTTATAATCACTTAATGTGAAATATAAACTGAAGCTCTTCAGAATGAACAAATAGAAACCATGAATAATGGCTGCATAATATAAAGTTGCAGAAAAAAAAACTCACACAGTTTGTCAGAGAGGATCTTCAGAGGGTTTTGGGTTGGCTCTCAAGCTCATGGATGAGATGTTGATAGTTACAGTGATAAGCTGGAGATGTGTCTTTCAAATCCCACCTGCTTCTCCAAATCTCAAAATAGATCTTGAATACAAAAAGAGAAGTAAAGCTCCTCATTATCTTTAACTAACCAGCAATCTTCAAAATCACAGTTGAATTAATTTCCTTGTATTGTTCTTCTCCATAGATTTTGTTTGACCACAGTTCTTATTTTTCCCTTTTAACAGTTTTATTGTAAAGATCAAAATATTTACGTTTAATTTCCTTTAAACATTGGCTTGATTAAATTAACTGGGTAATTGTTTTAAGGAATTTAAAACGCAGCCTCTCTAATGTGGACTTGGCTTCAATATCCAGAATTCTATTAAGAAAAATTTCAGTGGAAACAGAGCCTCAAAACTTCTGCTTTGTGTGTAAACTGAAAATCAAGAGGCTCCAGCTGACAGTTGGCCTGAGAATAATTCAGATTTAAGTTGGGTGGGTTCAGAGGGACAGCTGAGCCTGGTTTTTTCTGTTAAGCATTATAAGATGTTCATATTTCTTTTTCTTAAAATTGTTTTAAAGAGTCAAAGTGCCAAGAAGCTTTGATTTTTACACTGGCTGGAATTGTGGTACTGAGGATCAGCAGAATCCCTGGGTACAAGCATCCAGTACCAGCTTCTTGGAAGGGCTCAGGTTTTACCCTACAAAATAACTCCCAGACATTTCCCTTTGATGAAAGATATTGCCTCCGAAATAATGGAGAAAACTTGAGAGTTTTTGGAAAGTGTAAAAACCACCAAAACCCTGTCCAGATGAAACCTGTTGTGTGGATTTATCCCAGCCTTGCATTCTTTATTTGCAGTATCACATGAAGCTGTTTAGGAAATAATATTTTCTGCTAATAACAGAACCCTTGCTCAACTTAGCTCTAAAATCTTTAATTTTTCCTCTTTACCTTCTTTTTTTTCCCCATATCCATGAGCTCACACCTTATCCTTTTGCTCTTGAGAGATGTCTAAGGAAGGAAGATTTCCCACACTGAAGGTTATGGCTGAAATGGAAATGAATCAACTTTTAACTCTGCTTTGCTTTAGACATGGAAAAACTCCTTGAAGAGTTGTTGTTTTCTTTTTCCCAATAAGAGATCTTAAACAGCATTTTCAAGGAGTGTAAAAGGCAAATTGTTTCCTCTGCCTAAGCCAGGGGACTGCTTGGATGCACTTAAATTCCTTTTAGAACCAGACAGCACTTGGTTTCTTTTTAGAGGCTGAGGTAAAGGGAGGAACCTTCAGTTTTCCTGTCACTGTTGGGAAAATCTACCTGAGGAAAATGGGGTTGCATTTATTTATTCACTGTAGGATAATCCACTGCTTTGAATTATTGCCATCTATTATATTGCAGGTCAGAGCAGGTAGCCAAGAATAATTAACATGGGTATGAACAACTGTGTAAAGGGAGGTACCAACCTTGTCCAGAGAATCCTGGCTTTAAATCACTGTTAAAAAACCAATCTGGAGCTGAAGTTTTGGGTACTATTTAGAGTATCCTGTGATTAGCAGACAGAGTAGCTGGTCTGGTGTCTTCCTTAAAACCAGAAAATGAGGAAATCAGTGGAGCTTCCTGCCATGTTCCCAAAAAAGTGTTGCCATCACCACATTCTCTGTAGGATGTGAAAGATTGTCCTCATTGGAAGAAACTGGAGAGATGAAATAACTGCCATGTGTTTATTTTCTAGTTGCTCACTTACTAAGAGGTGACATTTGGCTTTCTGTTCTCATCCAATCCCATCTTTTCCAATTCCAGCTGCTGGGAGGGAAATCTCAGTCCTTTGAGAGAAAGTCAGGTCTGTGTGCAAAGGGACCTGCAGGTTTGAGCTGTCAGAGGGCAAAGTGAGGCTTTTGGGAACTATTCTAGAGTTCCCCAATTTCTAGAATTCCTTATCTTGAAAAACTACACCTTCAGAGAAAATCCATTTTTTGACTGAATTTGTGTAGTAATGGAAAGAAAACCAAAAATTGAGCCATTTTTGTAGGACTAGACAGCAGATGTAATCACTTTCTAAACTGTGAAGGGGAAATAGTTTGTGTAGAAAGGACTGGAGGTCTCTTGGCAGATTTTGCCTTGACCCTGCCAGTTTTTCTGTCCAACTTGTAGGATTCACCTTTTATCTCTCTTTCCCATCTCCAGGATACAGGTGAGGCTTTTCCCTGTTGGTGACACCCCTGCCTTGCCTTCAGCTCCTCACAGCACGACCTGTCTTTTACTGTGCTTATACAAACAAATTATGACTTAAAATACATATCAAAAGATATTTTATTTCTCCTTTTTTTTTTTTTTTTTTTAATGTGCTGTGTGATGTTTTAAATCATCCACAAGCAGTTCTGCATCTACCAACCAAAGGACTTGGTGCTGGGGAGCCTTAGGGCAGTTTTAGGGCCTTGCTGGTTTTCAGATGTTGATCCTATATGGACAAGACTCAGCAATTCCATCCCTTCCATTCTTTTCCAGCTGGCTTTGAGCTCCTGAATGTGCTGTTTATTTGCCTTGGTTTGATTGCTGGTTTGCATGGGCAGTTTCTGCATTTCTCCTGTCCTTGGTGGTGGGTGTTCAGACAGCACCAGACTGGAATGTTGCAAAGGAGACTTGAAGTCTCATGGAACAAGAGAAAAACACCCACTTGTCCCACTGTATGCAATAATCTTGCTCAAAAAAATGTCTTAATCAATGTTTTCTTGGTAGGAGTGATGTCAGAGTTAATGGCAATGCTGTGAATTCCAGTGTGCTACTGAGTGTAAATTTTTCTGAAAGAAGTTGCCAATTAGGGTGAAAGGCAGTTTTTTTTTTTTTTTTGCTGTTGGAGGAAAGAAGTCAATGCTAAATGCTGGTGTTTAAAGGTCTTTATTCCAATTAATAGGGATGCTTTTCATTTAGATGGAGCTTTTTTTTTCACACAGGCACCACTTGTCTGTCCTGTGTTTTTTAGAGAACTAAGAGCCTGTTGGCAATAGATAAATTTTATATATTTCAGAGGCTGGTAGTGTCCTGCAATGTTCTCACTATTTTTTTTCAGAGCCCATCGGTTTTAAATAAAGATTTTATTTTTTTTTTTTTTTTAAGATTGCTTGTTGTTAGCCTGATTAGTTTTCCTGGCACTGGGTGTTGGACAATATGGGAAGTTTGTTATGGAGTAACTTCAGCTTGTCTCTTGCTTCTGCATAGTGCAAACTGAAGCTGGCACCTCGAAGTTACAGATGGATACAGACTGCTTCCATTTAGGCTGGGTATTTATTTCTGCCACTCTTCTCTGATAGGAAGGCAGCTGTGGTCACCTTGGAGAGAGCCATGGGCTCTTCCTCCTTGAACAAAAGGGAAAATGAAAGGGAGTTATTATCAGGACATAGCATCTCTTTTGTTATTTTCATAGCAATTCTTGTTTAGCTGTGAAAGAAAAGCCAACCCCAAATCAGGGCCTGGCTGTCCCACGAGGTTTGCACTGGGAAGGGATGGTTGGTGATGTGCTGTTCCACAGAGCTGCAGAGCAAACAGTTCCTGCTCTGCTCCTTTTCCTCCCCACCTGTAGGGTGCTGCTCATTTCAGCCCAGCACGGATCACTCTGACCAAGAGGTGTTTATTGTGTGATCTGGGGTCAGCCTGCCTAAAAATCCTGTGAGGCATCTGTTCTTACCAGGATTGCTGCAAATAAAAACTTGCCAGAAATGGTTTCTTGGAGCTGGGAGATGCCTGAGGATTTCTGTGAGTGTTCCACACCAGGGCCTGGGGATGGGAAGCAGTGAGTGCTTGTGATGCTCTTGGAGCATCTCCTTTCCTTTAGGATGAGCTCTGGGATGTACAAGCCTTGGCCAGGAGGAATTTTGAACGTGGAGAAAGCCACATTCCAATTGGAGAGCACCTCTGCCTGCAGCATCCTCAGTCACACAAAAAATTCACAGAGAGCCAAGTGCTGTAGGAGAAGGTGCAGGGAGTGAGAGCTGTCTCCTTTCATTTGTGTGTGTGAAGGGAGTTCTTCCCAGGCACTTCACCTCTGCAGCCCTCACAGGTGTCTTGCTGTTTGATGCATACACTGAAAACCTTGCACTGAGTTTTCTCCACTCTGTCTGCTCAGGAGAGAAGTTTCACTTCTCCTTAAAAGCTGTTTGAGGGGTTTAAAAAAAGAATGTGAACTGGTGACTAGGATGTAACTTGCTAAGTTATAAAGAAGTGGAGCTGAGTGGTGAGAATATTGTGATGGAGTGTTGGAGCAGCAGAAAAATGGGAGCTTATTGAAGAGAAGGGGGATGAGGAAAAGCTCCATAGGTTCCTTATCAAATGTGCATATCATAAATGATAAATTTGGGTTCAAAGTATCTCATTCCACCCCCTTGCCATGGGCAAGGACACTTTCCACTATCCCAGGTTGCTCCAAGCCCTGTCCAACCTGGCCTTGGACACTTCCAGGGATCCAGGGGCAGCCACAGCTTCTCTGGGAATTCCATCCCATCCTCACAGGGAACAATTCCTTCCCAATATCCCAATATCCCCTCTAGCAGTGGGAAGCCATTCCCTGTGTCCTGTCCCTCCATCCCTTGTCCCCAGTCCCTCTCCAGCTCTCCTTTAGGCTCTGGAAGGAGCTCAGAGCATCCCATGTCACCTTTTTTTCCAGACATTCATCCAAGCCCATTTTGGGCCTCTTTATGCATTCAGATCCTCCTCTCTTGCTGTGTGGGGGTACTTGCTTGTAATTCTCAGCATATTCTTCTCTTATCTGCTGCTGATATTGATGTTACCCCATAGAAAAGAGAAATGGCTAAATTGATCAAGGAAGGCTACTAAAACAAAAAAACTGTATTATATTCAGTATGTGAACATACCTGTAGCAGCAGCAGAAAATTTATGCTTTCGATGCAGATTTTTTTTTCAACCTTTGTCTGAAAAATCTCAGGCAAATTTAATGGAAGGACTCTGCAGCTCTTGCCTTGATGTTGTGAGGCATCACTGATGCTCCTGTACTCTCCCTGTGAAATCAAATCTTCAGGTGGAGAAAGTATATTGCTAACACAATGCAGGGAAAGCTAATTTCTTTTCCTGTTCTCCCCTCTTTTTAAATTTTTTTTTTTTTTAAAGTTTTTGAAGTGTATTTAAAGCCTGCCAACTTGATAGCCACCCAGCCCCCTAAAACTGTGCAAGTAGCAGAAAGACTAGATAAGGAGCTCTCCTTGAAATGGCCTCCCAGTAAATTGGCACTATAGGAAATATTTCATGTTCCAGTGGAACCCAGTAATCTGTGTAGGCTCGTTAGCTGGGAATTAGGGAGAGGCACCGTGCCTTGTGTGTGCAAGGCAGAGATTGTGGGCTTCACTTCCTACTCACTCCTCCTGGGGAACATTTCTAAATTATTTTTGGGCTCCACTACCTAGCACAGATGCAAGTCCCTGGCAGGAAGGGAAAGACTCCGTGTGCATTTCTGGAAAGGAACACGGCCAAGTGCCTAAACAGCTCATTTCTTGCTTTTTAGCTGTAATAATTTGTTTATTGGTTAAACTCTTTAAGTTCCCTTGACCCTTTCACTCCTGTGTGTATTAGAGGAGCAGTGTTATTGCACTAACATTGTTTTGATGATTAAATCCCAACAATTCTGAGTGAGCCTGAGCACCCAAAGGGCTTTGCTGTCACAGCCCTGCTCTTGAGTGTGCCCAGCAGTGTGAGCAGGATTCCTGCTCCTTCTCCTGCATCTGTCCAGGCTGGCTCAGTGCAGGAATTCCACTGGAGCTCAGAATATTTATGGGGTATAGGTGGTGATTTATCTTTTCACACAACCTTTTTTTCTAATTTTTTTTTTTTTTGTTGCACACTAGAACAACTCTCTCTTCCCTGCAGTGGAAGTCACTGAACACAAAGTTGTCCTTCCCTGGTTTTTGTCCTTGTGTCCTATCCTCACCCAGCTTCCCATCCTCACCCAGGGATGTAGGAAAGATCGATCTCCCAGAGTGTCTTGATTTATCTTGATTTATTAACTGAGAGGCTGTTGTGGAAGGGATCAGGGGTAAGTTTCAAAGGGGCCTTTCCTGAAGGCATCTTGCCAAATCCTGTCTCATGCCTGATGCTTTCCAGCTCAGACTCACAGAAAGGAGAAATAAATCCACAGAAGGGGGAGCAGGACAGGAAGGTTGTAATGTTAATCTGTTTTCAGTGATTTTTTTCAGGCACCCTGGCACTCTTGAGCCCATGTTTGCCCAGGCCACAGGGTGTGTTTCTATTGGTGGAGCTGCTTCAGGTATTTCCTCAGCTCTTTGGACATGTCGAAATACCTTTGGTATAAATTTCCATTTTGCTTCGTGAGACTGCTGTATAATTAAATAGAAACTTGCTATTTCCTATTTTCTGACAGCTGAGGTGGCAGCACAACCTAAAAGAATCCCAGCTGGGGCACAGCTCACCCTTTCTGTCTGATCCTTTTCCTCTTGATGAAGACAGGACAGATTTTCCTGAGTGCCCATCAGCTCCTTGGATTTCCATAGTCAGCTCCTTGGATTTCCATGGTCATCCCCTTCTACCTTGGAGGTTGGGAAATGGGAATTCTAGCTGGCTTCGTGTATCTTGAAGGCACCTTTGATAATTTTTTTTTCCCCCCAGTTTGAACGGTTTCATCACCTGTCTTGTCTTGTTTTTTTTTTGTTGTTGTTTTTTTTTGTTTTTTTTTTTTCTCCCACGAGCAGGAGTGACAGGATGGGCCTGACTTTTAACCCTCTGGGAAACACAGTGTTTATTGTCCTTAGGGGCTACACTAAGCATGAGACCTGCTCCCATGCCAATAGAAGAGCCAGAATGGAGACAGACACCTCCCCCAGTCACAGCTACCTCTGGGACCTTCAGACTACGGCGAGGCAGTCGGTTCACGTGGAGAAAGGAGTGCCTGGCTGTTATGGAGAGGTATGTGCTGGCTCTCTCAGGGGGTTTGGACATGGGACATCAAAAGCCAACATAAAAATCCTTTTCCTTGCTCTGTTGAGCACCCAGTGTTGTCTTTATGGATGTGTTGTAGCTTCAAGAGTGTAAGAGTTTTGGAGTAGGAGGAGCTGTTTTGCCTCTTGTGTTGTTTAAAAAATTGTAACACTGCTCTTGACAGTTTTTTGGGTTTTTTGTACATCATGTTCTTAGCTCAGTCTGAGCATGTTGGTGTTCAGCTCTTCTTTTACTTTTGTAGAAACTTTTCCACTTATCCTGATCCAGATTCTCTTGGGAGGGTCTTGCAAGCTCTTTCCATTCTGCATTTCTCCTTTCCACTTTCCTGACTTGTCCTCCTGATGCCTCGTGGTGTTTTAAAGTGGATATACCAGCATTTCAGCAGCGCTGTAATTGTTCAGGGCACAGAACTTTGCCTAACAAGCAGGAGATTCCTGGTCCAAAAAGGCTCTTAGAACCCTTTTACAGGAGCTGGGAGCAGCACAGAGCAAAGTGGATCTTTCAAATCCATATGCAGAGGTGATCATTAGAGCTCCCAGCTCTCCTCTCTGAGCCCAGGCATGCTTTGCTCTTTCCCTCTGCTTACAGGAATGTCTCTTTTGTGGATAATGTTGTACAGTAGAAAAGGACTGGGGAACTTGGATGGAGTTTAGGGATTAATGCTTATTTCTGTCGAGGGCTAAATGGCTGGGAGGAGTTTTTTCCCCTCAGAGAGTGTGAGGAGCCTCCTTCCCATGGCAGGAGTGGATGCCTGTGTGTGCTGCACTCCTCCTGGGTCTGCAGCCCCAGTGAGATCTCAGCCAGCAGATTTGTAGGATGTGCTTTTACCATTTCTTTAATGTTTCCCTTTCCTCTTGCTTGCATGGGGGGTCTTGGGAACTGATTAGGAGCAGGAAAGCATCTTTTGCCTGAGGTAAGACTGAAATCCTGAGCTCCCTCAGGAGCACAGGCTGGACACATTTCTGTGTCTTTACAGGACTGGAACCAGTAACTTAAATGTTTGTTTCCCTATTCTGGCCTGGCACTGATATTTTATCTGGCATTGATATTTTTGGCTTTGCCTGGATGTTTCCCCAAAGGAAATAACGTAAATGTTTGAAATCTGTTCTGCTTTGTTAGACCCAACTAATGCAAAGTGTGATCTGATAGTGTGTTTTTCTAGTGTCCCCCTCCACAGAGGCAGAACAAGGGGCAGGACAGGATTCTTTAGCACTTTGAAATGCTTGTCTGAGTGTCCTGATTGTGTGTGCAGAAGGACAGAACGACCACAGCTCTGTGTGCCATCTCCTGCTCACCCCTCTGTGTGTGAAATGTTTATTGGGAGTAGACTTAGAGCTCTTTGGGCTGTTTTTTTTTCCTGGTTTCTGTCTGGCCCAAAGTGCAGTAACTGCTGTTATTTGCTGTTTGAACCCTGATTGTGCCTCAGACTCCTTTGCTGGATAAACTGCTGATAGAGAGCTGAGCAAGCCACCCTTTCCTCATCCACCTCTCTCCTCAAGCCAGGCTCTGCTGGGACACTCTAGAAATTAAAACTGTGGTGTTTTAGTACATCTGTTAGAAAGATAGGAGATTTGGGTTTGGCTATTGAAAGAATCAAGTTGGTTTTGACACTGGAAATCATCCAGTTGTGAATGCAGATACATAATTGCCCAATCTAAATTTTCATTAAATTCTTCTTCTTTGTTGTTCTTGGTTTTGTTCATTGTGTCTTGTGCTCTGTAAGGTCTTTGCTGCCAGAGTTTTCTCCTTATTCTGCTGCTTCCACATTGGCTTAATCCTGGCTTTTAATATTAATTTGCCAAGCCCTTGGCTGGGTCACTTTTGGGTTTTCACAGCCTTTTGTGGGGTACTGGGAAGCAAAGCTGAGGAGTTTTACTCGAGGCAAGAACACAGTAAAAGTGTTGTGTGACAATAAAGCTGCACCATAAAGCAATGGGAATATGGTTGTTTAACTGTTGTGCTTTAATGGGCCTCGTTGAGCTGTAAGGATGAGCTGTTTTATGTGACAAGTTTGGAAAGAATGGGAGAAAAAGGCTCTTCTGGGAGCCCTTGGAAAAAAAAAGTCACTAATTTCACTTACAGGTCACTGGAGTTTTCCAGGCTTGGCCATGATAGGATTCATAACAGCAGCAGGATGAAGGTAACCAGACCCCTCTGGCCCAAGCAGATCAGGTTCCCTTGATGGCCCAGGGTCAGGAATAAACATTTGGCCACTAAAATGGTGTTTGGCATTGCCTGTGGGCTGGTGCCATTTGTCTGGTAATTTACATTTTCCTCTGCAGGATTAAGTTTTGACTCTGAGTGGAGGCATCTCACTTTTAATGGACTTTTTTTCCCTAATGAAATGCAACTTTCAGTGCTCTGTGTTTGTGTGTCCTGCAGCTTCTGGCTCTGATGCTGGTGCACAAAAGGATTTAGGCACCTGGTTTGGAGCTGCTGCTCTGGGAACCTCAGGAAAGTTCTCGTTTATTTGGGCTGATACCTGTCCAGGAAGGAGAAACAGAGATCCAGGAGACAATTCCATCCCACTAATGCACTCAGAGAAGGGCTCTGTGCACCTTTCTCTCTGCAATTAGAACTAACTTTGATGGTTTAGTTTAATGCCTGAAGATAAGAGGATGGAATCCAGGGCTCAGTGGAATCTCTGCAGAACTCCTCCTTCCCTGTGAAATGCTGCTGTGATGCTGTGTAAACATTTTTTGGCTGAGGATAAAGGTGTTGACCTGCTTCATCACTTAATTGTGCCCCCTGCTTTTGCTTTTGTCTTGGATTCAGTTGGTAAAAGTTGGAATTGCTGAAAGTCCATGTGTCAAACCAGCTGTGAGAGCACTTCAAGGGAAGAATCTGAGTGTGATTGCAAAATTCTGATGGATTTGTTTCTTAGGAACAGGCTCTCCAGTTGAAAATGCCCAGCCCTGGTCAGGATTTGATCCATGAACTGAATGAGAAGGGTGAGGGTCGAAGGGGTAATTTTTCTTTTGTTAAAAAGCTTTAAATCAACAAAAAATTTCAGTTCAATTAATTATTAGATTGGTGCCAACCTGATAGAATAAAGATTAGAGTTAGGGCCATATCCTGCAATGTCTGATGTACCTGAGGGTCTGAGTTCAGGGTATGTGTATTAAAGGAACTAATTGGTTTATACTGGATTTCCAGGATGCTGCTTGTGGTTTCTGTAATTCAATTCTCCAGCCTTCACTGCTTTTTTGGAATCCTCCCAGGGTAGTTTATTAATCCCTGGTCTTAGATTTTTTTTTTTTTTGGACAATAGATTCGGGTCTCTTTATTCCCTTTACTTTTTATTTTTCTGTAGATATCTCCCTGAATATTTATACTCTGAAGGTTAAGAGGAGCAGTGGTTCCAGAAAGTAAAGTTCTATATTTAACTGCAGACTAGGTGTGGTTCAGACAACTGCAGTGCTACTGATGCCAACCTTGACCTGTTCTCTTTTGGAGCCTCCTGCTCATGGAATATGCTGAGTTTTGAGTGTGTGCATGTTGTTGTGTGGCTTTGGCCTCCTTTGGGAGCAGAGCTAAGACTGCAAAAGTCCTTTCTGTGCAAACCCGAGGTTAAACTTGAAAGCCTCTTTCTGCTTCACTTTTGTGTTCTTTTTTTGTTACCTCTTGTCCCACAGATAATGTTGTGGGTTTGTTTTTGTTTTTTTTTTTTTTTTCTTTTCTGTGCTTTGCTTCTTCTTTTCAACCCTTCTCATTAGAAGTATGAAATTGAAAATTCCCTTAGGGCTTTCTCTTTTTTTTTAAATGAAGCTGTGTTGTCTTGTCAGTCTATTTTTTAATTGTTATTTTTTCCCCCCCTGTGATTTGTGCTTCTCTTCTAATCATATGTTGGAGTAGAGGTTTATCTTGTTTTTCAGGCAAAAAAGAATAACTAAGATTGGCAGCAGAATCAGTTATTTTATACCCATTTTAAGGCACTCTTCATGAGTGCTGTTAAAGACTGAGGGGGGGAGTTGAGTGTTGTTTTCTAAGTATATTCTTTATCCAAAGATTAAATTAAAATAACTGTAAATTCTGCCCTAAACAAAAATGAATAATTTATCAGTTGAACTTACTTCAGTTTGTCTAGGGAGCAGAGACTTGAGGGTTATTTGTTTTGATTTTATGGCTCTGGGTTTTTATTTTAACACTTGTCTGTGCTTCTGAAGTTCCTTTCATGAAGGTGTATTTAGATTAAATAAGACTGAGATGCTACAGATCCCCATCATCCCCATTTCATAGGTGGCAAAACAGAGTCAGGTGTTTCACTTGGCTTTATTCAGAAGAGAAATGGGTGTAGATTTCCCAAGATAGGGGGGTACAGTTTCCTGCTGGAGCTGAGCTGAATTAACAGTTTGTCACCAGCTCATCCTTAGGTGTTACCCTGCCTTGCCACCCTTCTCAATTCCTCCTCCTCAGTTTCCCTGCTCCTGCCACCCTGCTCTGTGCCAGAGATGTTTCTTGTCTGATGGAAATAGCAGCCAATTCAGCCTGCTTCAGGAAAAATAAATTCTTTTTATTTCCCCTTGCATTTTCCTGAATTGTTTTGGCTTGCTGTGCCAGGGCTGTGCTGGGGCAAAGGACAGGAATGCACAGCTGGGGCACCAGGAAGTTCAGGAAGTTTTAACAAAAAGATGGAGATTCCATGGAGTTGTTTGCTCTGCCTGGTTTTGTTCTGATTTTGTTTGGTTTGAGTTGGATGAGTTCCTGGTTTCTTTACAGGCATGGTTGTACTGGCAAGCATGGAAGAGGGATCCTTTGATTTTGCTGAGCTACAGGAGAGCATTAGGTCCATGAGGATTAGGGGAGCATCTTTTCTCTGAGAGAGTTGGTTTTTTTTTTTTTCTGGAGCAGAAAAGAATCTAGGGAGAGCTCAGAGCCCCTTGCAGAGCCTAAAGGGGCTCCAGGAGAGCTGGAGAGGGACTGGGGACAAGGGATGGAGGGACAGGACACAGGGAATGGCTTCCCAC